ATATTAATAATATTTAAGAACTTGAATCATAGAGTTTATTTTGCGTGGATATTGTTAGTTTACTTTTGAGTCAATTAATATCATATCGAGAAGAAGAATAATACATGTGTTGGGATTTTGCCTGTCACTTCCTCGGAACCCAAAATTAAAAAAAAAAACCACTTTTTCTTTTGAGTTATCAGATCATATTTGGGATTGCCTATTGACTACTCTTCAATGAAAACATCAGTCACAATTACTTTGTTTCACAATGGATATCTGTCTAACTCATAAAATATGTAATAAGCACAATCTTAATGTAGGAAGTGTGTAATTAAGAAAACAACCATTAGCTCTTTCTAAAATAAGAATTTATCATATCTAACTATGTATATTATGTTCTTAATAAAATTTGGAAAGTAAATTTAAAAGTATGATTGAAGATTTGTAGCACTTAAATGCAATTTAATCCTCTCACAACTATGAATATATACATTAATTGAAAAAATTAATTTCTACTACTAATACAGTAATACATATTAACATGTAAGAACCTAGAAAATTGTAAATGGGAAGTTAGTAGGAAAAATATACTAAGGTTAGAAAAACATTAACAACATTTCAAACGGGACCTTCTGCGAAAGTATAACAACAAGGACAATGACAAAGAAACAACCCATGCAATAATTCGGAAGCTAAAAAATTATCAATATGTGGATTGAGTATGTCAATAAGAGCATTCGATAAAAATAACAATAACAAATAAAAATAAAAATCCAATTTATAGAGTATACAATTTCATTGTTTTTCACAATGAGTCGAATTTATATTATGAAAGGTTTTTGAAATAAATTAATTGCTTGTTTTGCAACTCAAATATTTTTTAATTTATGCAATCCAACAATCATATAGAATGGTCACTAATCCAATCTGAAGATTATTATTGATTAACTTCATAGTAAGAAAATGTATTTTCACAGCTTGCATTTGCATATGCTTCAATTATAATTTTTAAAGGTGTGTCTGAATAGGAGAAAGTAGTTATCGGTTCGGGTTAATTACAATGATGTTGGTGAACGGATGGAAATTAATTGAATTCAATTGGCTTCTTTTGCATGAAGCTCGATTGGGAAGAGTTGGACATGTTTGTACGTGGGCACCAGACCGGGTCATCCACGGGCTTGCACGGCACGGTTTGAACCCGACACGAGCACATATATGAAATATATGGGCCAGCCTAGCACGAGCACGAATTTTTTAAGGGTCGTGCCGGGCCTAAACTTTATGGGCACGGGCACGAGCACGATATGTAAATGGGTCGTGCGGGGCCTAATATTTTCAAAACCTTATTGAGTATAAGAACGAATATAGCACAAAAAGAATATTGATTATATAAAAAATAAATATAAAATTAATAATAGGTTGAAATATTGCAAATATAAGTACAAAAATAATTATTTATTGTTGTTAGAAGTGATCATTAAGATATATACTTAATAACTATCATAACAAAAAACGGACGAAGAATTAAACAAAGTAACTTTACACTCGTTGCACTTCCAATATTCTTTTCCCCTTTGTTGTTACGTTTCTCAAACATTCTCGGTTAATACTTTCATTTTCCATCCAATTTTGTCCTTCTTTTTCATTCCCTCTTTTATTTTCTTCCTCTTCGTTAAACACAAATATGAGCATGACACGAGCACGAGTATGCACGGCACGATTCAAACCGTGCCCAGTCCCGGGTCTAGCGAAAGTAACAAATGGGCTTGCACAACACGACACGAAAACTTACGGGTCGTGCCAAGCACGTCACAAAATAAGTGGACCTGAAACGTGGTTGTGTCGTGCCGGCTCAATCACGGCCCAACACCCATGTACAGACATGTTGCTCTGTAGGACTATTCACTATTGCCTTTCGTTGTAGCATTGGAAAGTTTAAGGTGGGTTCTTGAAAAATCGCCAACGCTTAGATATAATAATGTTTCCGCCGCCTACCTGGAAAAGGGTAGAGGGCTAGAAGCCCATTGAACTTCTGTTTGCCGCCTGCTGAAATAGTTAGAGGCCCATCTTAATTAAACGGAAAAGACTAAATGGTCCTTCCGATCTCTGCGTAGGAGCCAGAGAAAAGGGAATGAAGTGGGTTCTGATGCAGAACTTCCTTATATGTATTAGCTTATAACCCGGCCCGTTGGCCGGAATGTTTATATTTGATTTTTTTATACTTTTTATGTTACATTAAAGTCTATCAACCCGTTTAATTTTATTGACAATCTTTCAATTGAGATGAAACATAAAGAAAGAATATATAGGTCGAACATTCAGAGAAATATCATCATCATTTGAGAAAATAAAATATAAAAATGTATAAAACATCTCATTTTCATAATGATAATTAAGCCCAGTTAATATGTTATTAGTTAGTCGATTGTTAAGAAAGATAAAGTATAAAAGCTCACTGGAATTCCCACACAACCCATAGATAGTTTGAAACTGAATCTAAAACCTCACAATCCTACGTAAATGGTTCAATGCTCTCATTTTGGGGGCAATATGCCACTAATAAAAAAGAAATGGAGGGTTGTAGGTTCAAGTCAACTATATACTAACAACTCAGCTAAGAGAGGACCATCAAAACTTGAGAGCAAACGACAAAATTGGATTACCTCCAATATACTAATAGACTCGATCAAAGTAATATGACGCAAAATTAGATAGTCCTTATCTATCAGTTCTAGCAGGCTGAATAAAGAATCGACCTACTTCATTAAATCAATCAATAATTACTCGTTTTAAGATAGAAATAGGTTGTGGTAGTTGCAAAAACCATAAACCTAATGATCCAATAGCCACCACTCTCCATTGAAAGACCAAATTTTTATCTACTCTATCTTCAATCTCAAGAAGCATATGTTTCAACCAAACATTCACTTTCTAATCCTCCTTCTGCAACTCCATTTCTGCTACTTTGATGGACCTTCTCTCTGCGGCCCTCAATTTCTCTTCCAATTGGGGTTCTTGTCAACTCGCTCTTCAACTCCTCAATCCCCTTCCTGTGTTTTGCCAACTCATCTTTCTCAGGGGCAGTTCTAATAAGTTCGCTAAAACCAAAACTCATCTCCAATTCCATAAATATGCTCATCTCCCCCTTGCATGCCTTCACCTGCTTCAGCACACTTCCATGTCCTTCAATATCCTCTCCATTTTCATTAATATCCTCATCATCTCTCACTTCTCTCTCTTGAACTGCTCCAGTTTTGCTTCCGCGTCTTTCAACACCCTCCTCAATTCGATCACTACCCTCAGTAACTCCCTCTTCTCTGCCTTAACCTGCTACAGTTGAATTTTTCTTCCCCCCACCACTCTCATTCTCAAACTCAATCCTAACTCTTCTACTCCAAGTTCAACACCCCAAACTCCTAGAATGTTGCATGAAAGCTCAATTTCTAACTAATTCTAAAACAATATCAAAATTTGATTAGTGAGTTGGACCATAAGAATAAAAATTAATGAGGAAAATTATGGTTGCGGAGAACATTAGTTATCACAAAATCAAATATGAGTGAAAATATTGTAATTGAAAGAAACCTTTTTCTTAATTTTGATCTTATTTTATTATTTCAATAGCTAAGCAAAGACCAAAAATAAAGTATCAGAAACAAACAACAAAAAAGTAGACAGGGCTCTAGGAAAGTACAACAGCCCTCTTCTACACAAACATCTCTTTTGCTTACAAACAAATATAGTACCCAAACCATCGTTCAAATTCATTTTCTATATTTTATAAACATCATTCATAAACAACCAACTTAGATAAATCGGGAAGGAAATAATAGCCTACCAGTTCAAGTCGATGAACCTTTATGAAGATAGAAACTCATTGAAGTTGAAACCTAATAACAAAAAGAGGAGAAATGACGCAGGAGATCCCCCGAGCTTTAAACATCGTATCAGGCAATAAGATCAAAAGAAATAGATATTCTGCATGTTGTGCTCATGAGACAACGTGAAATAAAAGTCGTTTCGTTATTAATCAGAAAGATAAAACCATGAGACATAGAGAAGAAATGAATGACTTACATGTGCAAAGCGATTAACCTTGGCCGGAAACCGAAAACCTATTAAAGGTCAATGCCTGGTATAGGAAGATGAGTAAAGGCGAAAGGTATAACTAATCAAACATTGCCTTCAGCAATAGAAGCAACAAAATAGTTCTTCTGGTAGTACATCGAGGAGAGACAGAACCATTGGGTGATGCCAATGCAAAGGAATCGAGCGAGATAATCAAGGCCAGGCCATAACTACTTGATTGAACTCCATTCTATTCGCCATGGATTGATATGAGAGTTGAAATCTTCTACTTGCCCAGTCTAAATTCCCAAGAATAAAACTGCAGTGCCAAGAGATACCCGAATGTTGATTTTCAAATGCTCCTTATACTGGGAAGTGAAAGCACGCAAACTATTGCACGATGGAGGGAATTTCGGAGAAAATTAGAAAGAGATAAGAACAAAGATAAAAAGGCACAAAATTTAAATTTATATTGAAAAATGTAAGGACACAACACGTAATAAAGGAAATAGTTTCTTCCATGTTAGCCAATTACCAATATACCTTTAGAGAAACATTAAGGAGAGAGCATGAATTCTAAAAATTGATAAAATTAAATGAAACTCTACTATGAAAATTGAAGTATTAAGCACCATGAAAATACATATGGTAGACTTAGTGCCCTTGTTAATCATGATGAAAAAGTTCTCTGCTTTTCACAGTTTCAATACATGTATGTTTTGTATTAAAAAAGGAACAACAAATACACTTAGTATAATTGGTTATGACTGCTATCTTTGTTTGAAGAGATCCAGGTTCGAGTCTTGATATTGATATTTTTTATGAAATAAATAATTAATTGTAAAGACAAAAATATTCTTCCTACTTTCACTCTCATTGGAGGAAATTTGAAATGGAGAAAAGTTTACAAAACTCTACTATATATTAATGGAGGATTGTTAGATTAGATTCTACGTCCTTCGTCTTAACTTGAATGTAAAAAAATTATATAGAAAAAATGAGTTCATTGTGATCTATATAATGATATATTTTCGATATGTTTCAGATACAAATTTTTTAAACCAATTATACTACCGGCTATCATCATCCTACTACTATAGTCTATTTCTAACACTGGCATATTCCTACCAACATTGTATATTTTGATACATTATGATATAATTTTTTGTATTGTCATGTTCTACCATCGTGGTAAAAAATGCATCGATTAACTTTTGCTATTCCAAATATATCAAAGTGTCATTTTGTAAATTATAATTAATTTGATTTTTTGTGAAAATGAAAGACGAATTAAAATAAGTGAGATATAGTGCAAGAATGAGTAATCATATCCTAATCTAAATTTAGCTGCAATGGCTAGTTTTTTTTAACGTGTGAGAGTTTTTATAAAAAAGTTGTGTTATCTCCAATCTTTTATGATCGGGATATTGTTCGTTTTGGGACTATCCCTCGCGATTTTACTTTTCGGTACATCATGGTGATTTTCCGAGAAGGTTACACATCTATCTTTACAATATAATAAACATTTTGAACTTCATAGTTCTTAGAAGAACTCATTCATATCATTTGAAAGCTTAGATTTATCACATGTTTTGACCTAGAATTTGCTTGAAGGTTAGTGGCATATTTAAGGTCCGCCGCCCTGATCTACTGCGTTGTTTATGTGTCTTCGTCCTATAATGATGCTATCTTTACCTCTTTAGAGAGCTTCACATCTCCAGCAAGGTTAGTGGCATATATAATGATGCAACCTTTTGATTTTCCCTGTATTTACTGGCTTTGGGACTTTTGACAGAATCACCACGGATCAGGAGAGTAGGATGTGGTCGATTCACATGCTTCCAACAAAATTAGGTGATCAATGCAACTCGTATGCATTTCTGAAGGTGCATCTACCTGTGCCTTCACTACTTTCAGTCTGTTGATATTGCACACACTTTCAACAATGGCGACCAAGAGCCAATTCCTCCCGCCGATCCTCCCAATCCCGCTATGTTTGTTCATCGCTTTCCTGCCGGAAGCTGCCCCGTCGTGGCCTCTCCCCTCGGAGATAGCCACCGGAGGCGCCTGGGTTCTCCTCCACCAAAGCATTGGCATCTCCGTAATGCACATGCAGGTTCTGCGAAACAACAAGGTCATGATGTTCGACCGCACCGACTTCGGCACTTCCAACATCTCCCTCCCCGACGGCAAGTGCCGCTTCGACGTCACCCTCTCCCCCGTCGACTGCACGGCGCATTCGGTCCTATATGACCTCGCTTCCAACACCATCCGCCCTCTCGTACTTCAAACCAACACCTGGTGCTCGTCCGGATCGCTCGACGCCGACGGCACCCTCATCCAAACCGGCGGCCATGACGAGGGCGAGCGAGTCGTTCGGTCGTTCGCACCCTGCGACGACAATTCCTGCGATTGGGTGGAGCTTTACTACACCAGTCTGATGAATCGGCGGTGGTACGCGACCAATCAGATCCTCCCCGACGGCAGGATCATCATCGTCGGCGGGAGGAGTGTCTTCACCTACGAGTTCTACCCCAAAAGCTCCTCCTCCTCCCAATTTGACAACCAGACACTCAATTTCCTGTGGGAGACCCGAGACCCGGACGAAGAGAACAATCTCTACCCGTTCCTCCACCTTTTGCCCGACGGGAATCTCTTCATTTTCGCCAACAATCGGTCCATCCTGTTCGATTACTCTGCCAATCAAGTGATCAAGGAGTACCCTGTAATGCCCGGCGGCGACCGGCGGAATTACCCCTGCACCGGGTCCTCCGTTCTGCTTCCGCTTCGATTAACAGAATGTAATGCGGTTGGGATCCCCTGCGGCACCCCTAGGGCGGAGGTGATGATCTGCGGCGGCGCTCCTCCGGGGGCGTTCGCCAAGGCCAACAACCAGAGCATCTACGTGGAAGCGTCGAGGACCTGCGGCAGGATGACAGTATCCGACCCGAATCCGCAATGGGTCATGGAGCAGATGCCGGGGCCCCGTCTCATGAGCGACATGATACTCTTGCCGACAGGAGATATCATCCTCATCAACGGCGCCGCGAGAGGCAGCGCCGGTTGGAACAATGCCCGTGACCCTGTTTACAACCCGTTCCTCTACCTTCCCGACGAAGAAGACCCGTCTCGGAGATTCATCATCCTCCCGCCGTCGACAACTGCGAGACTGTATCACTCGACGGCAGCGCTGTCGCCGGACGGGAGGATTCTGGTGGGCGGGAGCAACCCGCACCCGACATACAACTTCACGGCGGGTCCTTACCTGACTGAGCTAAGCCTGGAAGCGTTTGATCCAGGGTATCTCAACCCGGACTATGCCCATCTGCGGCCGTCGATCTTGACTGTAGAATCCTCCATTGACGGGACAGTGAAGTATCAGGAGATGTTCTCTGTTTCGTTGATGCTGCCGTTTCCCGATCCTTATGAACCGGTGGCGGTGGTGCTGATTGCGCCGTCGTTCAGCACGCATTCGTTCGGAATGAACCAGAGGATGGTTGTGCTGGGAGTGGAGCGACAGCCTAGATTTGGCCTTAAAATGAACGTCATCGGGCCGAAAGATGTAAATGTAGCTCCTCCTGGTTACTATATGTTGTTCATAGTCCACCATGGCATTCCTAGCCCTGCTGTCTGGGTTAAGGTCAGATGATGATTCTTCTTCGTTTCCACTCTGTAATTTTGACTAGTTGCTGTGAATTCTGGAAAGGGAACTCGACTTGAAAATCTTGAATGATGATTCAGAACAAGCTAAGAGTTCAAACGAAAAATAGAATGGGCAAATAGTTTCGGGAGATCAAACAAACCAAATCATCTGGACACCTAAGTAGTAAGTACCCACAAGCCACTCTACTTCACAAGATAATAATATCTAAGGTGGAAACCAGAAAGAAACAGGAGGAGATTATAAGCATACATGCCCTCATTGGAGTATTTGACTTCCATAGTCTGCATTGAACTTCTCATACCGGTGGGCGTGAAGATGGGCAGACGGCCTTGTGTTCTTCAAAGCGGTATCTACATCTTCGCCCGATATTGGCCCAACTTGAGGCAGCTCTGTAACAGAAAACCAACAACGCACAGCTAAGAGCTTAAGTAGCGATGGGCCAATAGCATAACGCAACTCCTTGTTATTTGGAGTAGCTACTGAGACTTCAACATAATGCCCAACAAACAAAAAAATGTGACTTACCATCCTCGGGCACGATTTCCTCCTTGTTTTCAAGGATAGCCATGACACGTCTTAGTGGCTGCATAGCAGCTTCCTTGCAAACCAAACGAATATCAGAACCTGAATAACCTTCTGTCCTATCGACCAAGACATCGTAGGGAAGGTCTGCCTCGTCACTTGCTGATGGTAGGAGTTCTTCAAACATGGCTCTTCTTGCTTCCGGCTCGGGAAGAGGCACAAGGATCTAAAGTTTTGGGGTCATGGGAAACAATATTTGGAAATAAAATAACCTACCAACATGCTTTGTTTTGAAGGACTGAGAAGGAAAGATGGAAGGGAAAAGGACAGATTGCGGAAGTTTGGAAAAAGAAGGATACACGCTTTTCAAGCCGGCGTAGCATGGCTGCATCTAATTCCCAGGGGAGATTGGTTGCTGCCAGAACAAATACGAGCTCATTTGTTCGCATCAATCCATCCATCTGCAATCAATTACGTAAGATTTTGAGAGAATTGACTTTTTGAGTATGTGGTTGTGGTTGGAAGATGTTACAGCTTCAACCGTTCAAAGACATCGACAAAATCACATACTGGCTCCTCACCATATACGAACTACGAAAGTGAGTTGGAGATGGAAAAAGAACACATCACCTGAACCAGCAGCTCGGTCTTCAAACGCCTGCTCGCTTCATGCTCACTCCGACCTTCACCACGCTGACTGATAATTGCATCAATCTCATCGATAAATATAGTTGATGGTGCATGGTGTCTAGCAAGCTCAAATAAGACCTTTACTAGCTTCTCAGAGTCCCCTGCAAAATTGAGTGCCCTTACAAATTAGAGACTACAAGTATTATTTGAACAGTCTCCAATTCTGGAGATAGAAATTCACAATATATTTTCAGGAAATCATTTACTAATCACAAAGTTACAGTTTTCATTAGACACACTTCTTCTACAAGCAAACTAATGTGTTTTAACAGAATCAAGACCAACTAAATCCACAATACTAAATCCATAAAGTAGTGCCAGAATAATAAATCCATAAGATAGATTTTAGCATCTCAACTGAATAACTCTTAACAACATGCCATTTTGTCTTCAATTAATGCATAAGATATCATTCAACCCATAGTTCATCAATGATTGTGCCCCTATAACATAAAGATCTTCATATCATGCCAAAATGATATTCACATATGATAAAAACCAGACAACACCATCTAAGAAGATCCTCCGACTGCATAGAACATACCACGCCACTTGCTAACAACAGAAGATGCAGAGATATTGAAAAATGTGGTTTTACATTCCGTAGCAACCGCCTTTGCTAGCATTGTCTGAAACATCAAATAGAAAGTTGTAAGATACATTTCCTCTAAGTATTTGATTGCAGGACCATTCGAATTGAAGTTAACAGCAGCCCCAAACAAAAAGTTTTCAGAATACAGTATTCCAATATTTTAATCTGCTTCATGGGATGAACTTTCATAGACATTCATGTTTCTGTTGATCAGGTATGAGATGGGGCAGGGAAGTTCAGGAGGCCAGACAATATCACAAACCTTCCCTGTCCCTGGAGGACCAAAAAGAAGGATGCCTTTCCATGGTGATAATAGACCTGTAAAATACCTGAAAAGTGAAAGTCAGCCTAAAAATATGAACAATGAACTTGACAGACAACTAGAAAAATTCCATTTCCTTAATTGCTTATCCGATCTTACTCACAGAGTGGAAAGATTCTGATAGATAAAAGAAGACACTATGATTCAAACGAAAACATTCCTTGCTACTGCGGAAAACTTCATTACTCTCATTCAAATGAAAATCAGCTGGACAACAAAGCGTGTAATTTAGAAAGACAATTCACATGGAGAAAGTATAGACACAAATATGATGGCCAGAGTTCATTTGCATAACATAAACCAAACAGATAAAATCCCCTTACTTCCTACATGTTACCAATGCTGCTAATGGTGGTTTAGAAAAAAAAAAAACATACCACAAATTAGCAGGTCAGATCATCAACAATGGCAACAAGATTTTCTATCAGAAAGGAGACTGACCCTTGGCAATAGAAGCACATACTTATAATGTCACAATAGAAGCACATACTTTGGATACTTTATCGGCATGACCACTGCTTCTTTCAGTAAGCGCTTTGCATTCTCTAGCCCCTTGATATTCTCCCACTTAACATCTGGGCTCCCACGAATAATATCCCTGAATATGTGAAGTTGTCAGGTAAGCAAATTTAATGAAGTCAACAGCATTCATGATCAAACTCAGACTCAAAAGCAACAAAAACAGAATCAAAACGAAGCATGAAAATGCAGCACATTTTATAAGGTGGTCTCAAGTATTACCTGCACAAACCTTCAGCTAAAGATCGTGTTTCAGCAGAATCGAAAGCAGGGAGCAAGGACTTCTGCCTGAACGTAGAAAGAATGCCAAAGATCAAAAGATTGTTCAGCCAAAATGGAATTCTCATTCCACCACACAATTTCACGTTGTTGCAGTCGTCAGAAGTTACAGCATGTTCAACGCAAGTGTTAGCTAAGTCTAAAATGGTGGACGAAGACATTCAATTCCACCCCCTAGTGTGGAACCTAGATGCCAATATTTTGCTACTAAAAAAAGTCGCACCAGTTTAAATTTTGAAGCAGGATATATATCTCGAGTACAAAAGTCCCTTATATCTACAACCCAAACAATGGACAAAAAGGCTTTAAGAAGGTCCAAATTTTTAATACCAAACAGCAATATCTCTGCTAAAGGATCCCCAGAAAACTAAAGTGATGAGCATTCCGGATAAGAAAATACATACGGCACTTCACCGACTCCATTGGATAAAGTTCCATTGGGAAGACCTGAGCTCCCGTTCTGCAAAGAGAAAGGAGAAAAACAAATGAAAAACAAAAAACGATTGTCCTGCATTTGCCATAACGCCAGGAGAAACAACTCATTCAGTCCACTGCAGTACCTGCTGGTTTCTAAACTGCTCATAAATGGCCATGTCAGATGAGTTCTTCATATGGCCATTACCGTTAGCTGCAATGCCAGAAGAATTCCCATTGGGGACTGATCTATCATCGTTGGGTGAGCTGCCATTTTCGGAGTCTGGTGCTTTCTTTCTTCCGAACTTGGCATCATATTTGATTTTGAAATCCTAAAAACAGCGTTAGTCTCTTACAGAAACGCACCATCTTCCCCAAAATTTCACACAAAAATAAAACTTCAAAACACACAGCATCTGCCTCGGCACAAATCCGAATCACATCAGTAAGCCTCGGACTAACAACACTTCAATACAATCCCTTCCACCACACCATACCAACGATCAAATTTTCATTCGCAAAATGACAATCCATAATCGAAACGCCGATTCAAAGGTCAAGAGAACTCAACTTCATTCTGAGATGCAATGCAATCAAAACCATAGACGAAATGGCAGCAATTAATCTATCTAAATTCGTTGGCAGCAATCCAACGGAACGGAGCGATACAAGGAAAAAGGAAGCTCGATGAAGCCGACCTTTCCGGTAAGGCAAATGGTAAGTCGGCGAGAGAAACAGAAGGGGTACCTGAAAGCTCCAGCGAGTGACGGAAGGTTCATCGGCCATTGATGATGGAAAATCTGAGAGCGAAAGGATGGAAAAGAAGGGAGATCTCCCTCTCCCTCCACTCTCTTTCGGACTCTGTCTCTGTCTCAGTCACTCGGCCTCTCCGTTGCTCAATTTCGATTTGGGATCACTGCATGTGCTCTGCTGGGTCTTTGACTGTTTGCTGTCCTTCTCAGTTGGAACTTGGATGCGCCTGGCTGGGAAGAAAAAAAAAAACTAGAGCTGTGTGGTCATAATTTATTTTATAATAATAATATATCTTAGAAATAGGCGAATATTTACAAAATAATGTTTACTTGTGATTTTCAAGACTCCACGACAAAATTGTAATTTGGAACGCAGCGTGCAGCAATTAGCAACTACGCCAACTACCCTTGCCTTGCCCATGTTGGTCGTTGCCCGTTGGTCCCATCTAGGGCTGCAAATGAGCCAAGCCGCTCGCGAGCAACTCGGCATTCGAATCGGAAAAAACTCATTCGACACTCGACTCGTTATTTAACAAGCCGGCTCGCGAGCCAACTCGTTAGTTAACGAGCCAAGCCTGAGCTAGACCATGCTCAGCTTGATAAGCTCGCGAGCTAGCTTGATTCGGTGGCTTGTCGAGCTAAGCTCGCGAGCTGCCTTGTTTTGAGCTTGTGGAAGGATGAATTACTCTTTTAAACATGAACATTGTCTTATAATACAGATGTGTATGAAATTTAGATGTTATTTCTAGTTTCTAGTGTTCTTTCTATCATTTAAATTCTTATGTTTATACATTTTTCCAGCAAAAATGATTTTAAATCGAGCTCATCTTGAGCCGAGCTTGTACTCAGCTTAACAAGCTATGTTAATGAGCATTTATCGAGCTCTACCGAGTCGAGCTCGAGCTAGATTATTTTTATTCAAGCCGAGCTCGAGCTCGAGCTGGATTATCAAAATTCGAGTTCGAGCCGAGCTCGAGCTGAAAAATTAATAAACGAGCCGAGCTCAAGCTAAGCAAAAACTCGACTCGACTCAGCTCGTTTGCAGCCCTAGTCCCATCCCATGACTTGCTCTATAGCAAATTTTATAAGAGAGTCCAATTTTAAATTACCAAAATATTGTAAAAATAAAACAAAAATTAAAATTCAAGTATTCTTTAAACTTATTGCGCTAGACAAGTAAGATTCAAGTGGCCGCAAATACCGAGCAAAATTTGTCACAGTTTCGTTCAATATGTGTGTAGTCACAGATGGTGAGCCGAACTTTCCAAGTTTCGCTCGGCATGAGAAGAGAAGCCACACCCAGACGTAGATAAATTTTGACGGTGGACGACCAATACTTATGATTATGATTAGGGGTGAACAAATCAACAAACACACTCGTAAATCGATCCACCCGTTCAATTCGATTCAACTCACTCAGATTTATCGCTAAAATTAAGTTTTTGGGTTGGGTGGGGATTTTCTTTTGTACAACCCGCCTCATTTAGGTTGGGTTTGGATTTTGGATTACACAACCCGTAGAACCCGACCCAACCCGTGTTCCAACTATTGGTATGAGTTCGTATCCAAAAAATATTTATGTCGTATATAGCCATATGAGAAAATTAAGATATTTTACCATGTTTTTCTCTCACGGTCTCCATAATCTAATCCATTATTCGGCTTAAAGTTTAGACATAGATTTAATATAGTTATGATTCACGTAATCTTTTTACTTGTGTACAATTTTAATGGAATAACATATTATGGATGCGTTCGTTTATAACCCTTTTAGCCTATTTCAACAAATGTCGTAAAAAAAATTAGACATATGTTGAAATAAATCACATTTTATTAAAATTCAAACAACATTTGTGAATTTTGTTACCTTTCACCTCGGTTTATATATTCATTTGATATTTTAATTAGTTATAGCATATTTTTATGGTGTAGAATAATTACATATTTGTATTGGGCTGGATTTTTACTTAAAAATATCGCCAACCCGACCCACCTAATTAGAAACAAACCGTAGGATTTTAATTTTTTTTTTTTTTTGCGGTGGGTTTGGGTTTAATATTTTCCAAACCGTAGTACATGGGTCGAGTGATTAAAATGGCTAAATCCGGACCACCCGATCCATGTACACCCCTACGATGGCAGCCGCCAGTCAGCCACAGCCACATTGGGGTCCTCGAGCTCAGCCCATCCTTTAGGGATGGCAACAAAACCCGAACCCACGGGTACCCACCCGACCCAACCGGGTCAACGCGGGTAAAATCCATGTTGACGGGTTTTGGGCCGGGTTTGGGTTTAAACCCGTTCACTATTCACCGGGTTGGGTTGGGTTTGGGTTTAGGTAAACCCGACCCATGGGTACCCGCCCACATCCATATAATAATTTTTTTGGTATATTTAATATTCTAAACAACTAATCTTATTTATGTTTGTGGAGACATGTCTAATTTTTTCTTTCTAATTGTGTAGAATGAAGTTGATGTTATCGAGTGGAGATCGAAGAAACTTAATTGAAAGGAAGAAGCTTTCAATTAATCATGTTATTTATGGATAATTTGTGATTTGCTTCAATTTTCTTGAGTTTTCTAGATTGGTGTTGAACAATTTGTATAGTTAATTTGTGATTTGCTTGTATTTTCTAAAATGGTGTTTTATATATGGATAATTTGTATTGAGAGATTGATATTTGACTTTCATTTTGATAGGAACTTGTTATAGTAAATTTTTTACGACAAAAACCCGTGGGTACCCATGAACCCGCGGATACCCTGCGGGTTGGGTTGGGTTTGAGTTTTTCAAACCCAGTGGGTTTTACCCCGGTTTTTTTCACGGATAAACCCACGGGTTTGGGTTTGGCAAAACCCGACCCAACCCGACCCATTGCCATCCCTACCATCCTTCCTCCGCCAACAACTACCTCCTCAACACTAGAATAGTGGTGTGAATCTGCCATTCAAACTCACCGGGAAATGAATATTTTGACGGGAGAAGATGAATATCGTTGAAGAAGACTATTGGAGAATGGAGAGAGAGACGTGGGTGCCATACCGAATGAAGATTTTGACCCAATACCCTATTCTCATACTAGCTTTACTCGACTCGTTGGTCGGATGCATTTTTTATTTATTTTATGAATCAATTTCTTCATACTTTTAGATAATTTGAGATTTTCTAAAATAGTTAATTCATTATTTCAAAGTAATTTTTATGGTATTTGTTGATGGCTTAGGATAGCGTCAATAACCATTGGTTACTGGCTCATGAGTAACTAAATCTTAACCTTCAGAGTTAAGTGGGTCCAGAAATCCAGATCTAAGGGTTGTCAGTTAAAGGCATTTTATTTTTCCTAGTTTTCATAATTGACTTTTATCTTCTTCGTTCTAAGTCGGATTTCAAATTTTTTTTTTTTTTCAAAGATGGAACGAGTTTGTTGTGCTCTACAAAATGAGATCAATTTTCAATATATTTCGAGAAACTTTTGTTTTACCAACTACATACCATATGGTAACTTTTTCGTTTTTAAGTTGTTTTTTGAAAGGTTTGCTCAGAAGGAACGAGTCTATCATGATCTATTGGATCTACAAATTTCTAGGTGAAAAAAATACTGGACTAAAAATTATCATACTTTACCACTATGGTATGTGGGTGGTAACTTGTAGTAAACAATGGTGAAAGTTGTAAATGACAGTTAGTATACTTCTACTATCATGTATTCAACCTTCTTATCATATTGGTATGTTCATACCTTCATGATACGCTTTCTTAACATATGGTATTAAATAGGAGCATACCATATGGTAATGACTGGTAAAAAATTATTCAATTTTTTTTGTACTAAAAATATATCAAAGTGGATATCATTTTAATGAGCACATTTAATCTGATTTATCGGATTTCTTCTCTCTCTCATCTACAACTAAAATAGAGAAAAGGAACCAACACACACCTAGGTGGAAGTTTGGTTTGCGGCCGTTGAGCTCCGAATCGATTTCCCGCTTCTGCGCGCCTCGCCTGCGGGGGTGTTCTCCTTCCGGTGGGCGCTCCTCGTCACCGTACGTCTGTTACTTTCTTGTTCTTCCTGTCTCTCGCTCGTTCCTTGCTACTCATGGCGGGGGAACGCTCCAGGGCAGATCTTTTTGGAATCGCGGAGGAGAATCGGCTGGTCTATATTGAGCTTGAAATCGTGGATGGAGGGCTTCGTATACCGGCAGAGCTTGAAGATGAGGGAATTGCTCGTTGGCAGCATTGTCTGGTAGGTCAATTTCTTTCATCCTCTCCGCACTTCAAGCAAGTCCAATCTTGGGCGAATCGGTTGTGGGGGAAGAAGGGTTCGATTAGGGTTTCTTGGCTGGGGCACCGTTTGCTGCTTTTCCAATTCCCAACTGAGCAGGTTGCGCATTGGGTTTTCACGAGTGGTCCATGGCATCTTCACAATGACATGTGCTATCTACGAAAATGGGAACCAGGGATTAGGGCAGAGAGTCCTAAGCCAATGATTCCGTTGTGGGTCAAGTTCATCGATTTACCGCTAGAGAATGTCACTGGTCGGATTCTTACTCGTCTGGCTAGCATGATAGGAAAACCTTTGTGGTTTGACAAATCAACTCGACTAGGACAACGATTGGGATATCCCAAGGTCTGTGTTGAGGTTGGCCTGGACGCTAAGTTCCCGGAGTCATTGAAGCTCCTCCCAGATCGAAGGCCTGCTTTTCATGTCCAGTTGGAATATTGTAACATGTCAGTGGCTTGCAAGAAATGCCATCAGTTCGGGCATGAATGCTTGGAAGGGGCAACTGCTGAACAGATGGTGAATTCTAGCCAACAGGAGACGGAGCAGAGTATTCAGGCTGTTGAGGATTCGGTTTCAGAGGGTGTTTCAGGGGTTGTGAGTGTTCAGGAGGCATTAATGATTAATCAGCAAGGCAATGCTCAGGGGGAAGTAGAGATAGAAGAGGGCAGGGGGCTTCAGTTAGTAGTGGATAATCTTGTTACAAGCTTAAATGCTGGAGCTGAGAAGTGGCAATCCTCTAATGTGAT